TCCTGGAGAGAATGGGAGAACAATGTGGAGCAAAACTCAAAATTACAAAAAAAAAAAAAGGCTTGCTGGTCTGATGGAGCCTGGTGAAACTCTTCAGACTACAGCCTTCAGGTCTGGAATTGAACTCTTGTGGCTTTCAACCAAATAAAAGACTGGCATATGGGCTGAACACTTACATCAGGTAAATACACTCCTTGGAGAGATCAATCATGGAAGAACGAAGGGCAGTGTATGCACAGGGAGACCGCTGAGCGGGGGAGGGCAGGAGGGCATGGGAGGGAAGGACACAGAGAAGAGATAACTACAGGGAGGAAGTGGGACGAGAGCTGTTACATTACGGGAAACTGCAGTCAACGTCAGGAGACCAAATCTGTATGAACTGCTGTATGGAAAATGAAATTGTTCTGTAAACTTTCATCCAAATCACAATAAAAATTAAAAACAGGTTATAAGCCTGCAGCTCTGTCTTGTTAGTGAATTACTAAAGCAGCATGCATATTAATACTGTATCACAAGTTTGTTTTTTGTTTCATTAACTGAACATCAATATAATTCGATTTCCTTTTAATGCTATGCATTTTATTTTATGCATTTAGTTATCATTCTGAGAAGGGCCCAAAGATTCCACCACTCTGCCAAAGGAGTCCATGATCCACAAAAGGTTAAGAATTTCTAAGTGCCTAAGGCTGCCAGCTCCCAGTAAGTTCAGAAGTACCAGGGAGGCAAGAAGAGTTCCTGGCCAGTGGAGGAAGAAGAGCAGCACTTCCAGCTCTGAACAGGCCCTAGGAGATATGACATGCAGTGTTTCCCAGACGGCTTTGCCATTTTTCTAAGGAATTCTTAATAACTTTCAAAAAATTATGGATATCTGGAAAACAGTTTGAGAAATGTGGATTTAAGGAATGACTTAGTCGGGGAAGATAATGAAATTGCTTAAACTTTTTTGGATCAAAACAACAGGACTTCTTAGTCTTTAAGTCCCTACCCATGCAGTAAGTGTGGATTGAACATATCCATGATCTAGAACCTTTCCCATCCTTTGCTCATGGTCCACATTTAGTAGGCTGTGACCAGGGTTCCACACTGGGTTGAGGGGCCTGTCAGCCAGGAGTGGGGATTGCTGGGGAAGCCACGGAAGCGTCTGCCCCAGCTGCTGCTCTGATGGGGGTTGCACAGGAGCCTGAACATTTGGAGTACATGCTGGCATTGGAAGCAAGAGCTATACTCTATACTGCTAGATAATAGTTCTTGCCTTGCTTGGGGTATTTAATTTTAGGCTGATGATCTGAAATGATTTCACATAGTAGTGAGTTGTTGTTATTAGAAGGAGAACAAGGCCATCCACTTCTGAAAAAACTGGCCACTGAAAACCTTAGGAGTATCAGTGAAACACTGTCCGATACAGTGCCAGAAGATGAGCCTCTCAGGTTGGAAGGCACTCAAAATATGACTGGGGAAGTGCTGCCTCCTCCAAGTAGTTGACCTTAATGACCTGGATGGAGTAGTAGTGAGTACTATGGAGAAAATCAGGGCAGTGAGCTAGCAAGTCGGGGAGGAGCAAGTGTGGGATAAGGTAGTCAGGGAAGGCTTTTCTGAAGAAGGGGAGCTGGAGTGCAGCTCTGAGAAAGGAGAACAAGGCAGGCACAGGTGAGATGAAAGATTCCAGACAAACAGCAAGTGCAAAGAAACCTAAGAGGTTAATGTTTGCTGTGTTCAAGAAACAGAAAGGAGCCAGTGTGACTGAACAAAGAAAGGTGATGCAGCAGGCCAGACTGTTGAGGGGCTTGTGGGCTGTGGTAAGCAATTTGGATTTTATTCTGAGTGCAATCAGAAGCCTTTAAACCGTCTTAAGGGAGGTAGTGGTGAGATTGTTTCACTTACGTTTCTAAAGGATCACTTTGGGGTTGTAGAGAATGAATTTTGGGGATCAGAAGTAAGAATAATGCCAGTTGGAGGAGACTGCCAGAATCCAGATAAGAGACTGGAGTAGTCTGCATCAGGGTGATAGCTGTGGATGAGAGAAATGGAGAAGGATTTTGGAGGCAGAATTGACCTCCCAATGGACTGGATATGGTGGTGTGGGTGGGTAAGGGAGGAATTAAAGTCCTGTTGTTGTTATGTGCCGTTGAGTTGGACCCAACTCATAGTGACCCCTCCTTGAGTTTCCAAGGCAGTATCACTACAGAAGTAGATTGCCCAACCTTCCTTCTGAGGAGTGGCTGGTGGGTTTGAACCGCCAGCCTTCTGGTTAGCAGTTAAGTGCCTTAGGCACTATGCTACCAGAGCTCCCAGGATAAGTCCTAGCAACTAGCAATTAAGGTTGGGCAATCCTACTTCCGTAGTGATACTGCCTCGGAAACCCAAGGAGGGGTCGCTATGAGTCGGGGCCGACTCGATGGCACATAACAACAACAACAACAACATTTTGAGATAAGGAATCTTAGAGAGCATCAAGAATTTAGAAATGTTAAACATGAGCTGCCTATCAGGCATCCAAGTGAAGATATCCCATAGGCAGGTAGGTAGGTATCTAAGACAGCAGCTCTGGGAAGAGGTCAAGATTAGTTATAAGTGTAAAAGTTATCAGTCTATATCTATCTGCATAGACTAATAACTATAGACTGAGGCAATTCTCACTCATAGTGACCATACAGGATGGAGCAGAACTGCCTCATAGGGTTTCCAAAGCTGGAATCTTTACAGAAGCAGACGGTCTCATCTCTCTCCTGTGGAATGACTGGTGGTTCAAACTGCACACATTTGGGTTAGCAGCCAAGCGCTTAACCACTGCACCACCTGGGCTCCTCCTATAGATGGTATTTAAAGCTTGGGAATTGGATGGAATCGCCAAGGGAGAGTATGTTGAGGAAAAAACAAGTCAAAGCCCTAGAGGGCACTCTGACACAGAGGTTAGAAGTGGGAAAAACAGCAAAGTAGAATGAGATGGACTGGCCAGTGAGGTAGGGAAGGAGGCAGGGATGAGAAGAGTATGGGACCACAGAAGCTGAGAGAGGAAGAGATCAAATGTGTGAAATGATGCTCAGAGATGATCGAGAGTAAAGAAGTTATTGAATTCAGCAATTTCAAGGTTACTGGTGACCTCGAGAGCAGGAGAGCAGTTTCATGGTGGAGATGGGAAAGGTCCAGTAGAAAGGAGAATGGCAGGAGCTACATCTCTGAGCTGGCGAGCACTCAAGACACTTCGCCATCCTTGTCTGTAAGTGAAGACTTTCTCTTCCTTGTTAATGTATTTTCTGTGATCCTCAAATGCTGGCATCCCTCAGGGACCCAAGGATGCTCTGCTCTCTATACATCCTTGCAAAAAGGGCATGGGGGTGGCATCTTCTGACCTTCTCTAACTTCATGAGGGAAAAACAGACTCACCATCAGCAGCCATCAGCTGAAGACTGATGCCTATGAAGTAGAGGTCAGACATCCCGCCACCCTCCACCCTTGTTACCAATTCTGACATCAACTGTCCCTCCCACAGCACTCTACTTCTCTGCTAGGTTTGATAATTTCTTGCAATGGCTACAAAGAAATCACTCACAATACTCACAATTATGGAGTGTACTGGGGAAGAAGTGACAGGTTACAATTCAGGTTCGGGAATGCTCAGGATACAATTCTTCAAGACAGCCTCCCCTCAGCCATGCCCACAGGCATGCCTTTCTTTGGCTCCTGGCCTCCCTTGCCAGCCTCTGCCCTCCTCAGGCAAGTGTTTCAAAGTTCTTTTACCTGTGCTGATAGGTGCATCCAACTCCTCCAGCAAGCTTCCTGCGCAAGCCTGTTGCTTCATCTCATGCTAGTCTCGGTTTTGCTGCCGTTGCTGCTGCTGCCACTTCAGCGCAGGGATCTTGGGCCCAAAGACGCACTCCACCCGTCTCCTCTATTGGTGGTAGTTGAGATTCCCCTTTTCCACCTCTGGGATGGCTCATTTTAAGTCTAGTGAGATAGCAAAACTGACCAATCCCCACCTTAGGATTCAATACACCTTAGTACAAGCCCACTCACATAAAGGTGCCAAGTACCTTATTTACATTGTTAACAAGTTATCCAATCCCCTTGGTGACCCACAAGCACCACACATTTGCAGAGCCCCACCTAGTCATTTGGTGGGAGTCACAAAGACCGTGGCTAGAAGAGCCATACTAAGTAATTCACTGCACCACAACCCTCCTCAATCTCATCAGCTCTCGTGCTTTCAAATGCCTGCTACACAGTAATGACACCCAGATTTTTATCTCTGTCCAAGCGTTTCCTCAGCAATACAGATCCTAAAAATTCACAGTGGATCCCTCAGGCACCACAAATAAAACCAGCCCCTGCCCTCTTCACCCATCTAATACATGAGTATGAACAGAGTGTATTCCTGGTTAACATCCCTTAGAATGGCCCATATTTCACATTTCCAGCCCAGCTGGGCATATTACACTCTAGGATACCAAACTAGTTCTTTCCTGTCACCTAGGAGTTCCCATTTAATCATCATAAAATAAGTGATGTCCTCCCCTGAGATGTAGAGAAATAACCAGCCCAATTTTACAGGCCTAATAAGTAGCAAAAACAGTACCAGCAATTATTAATCAATATGACTTAAGTCCACGCTTCAACTACATACTTCTCTTAAAGGAAGTCCTTGTAGTTACCTTATTTCCAACATGTGTCATAAAATCTTTATTTTAATTAGGAGACAGTTATTCACATTTAAGTCAGCAAGAGAAAGTTATCACTTTTTGATACTAAATATTAACATGAGAAAACAAGTCTAGCAAAAAGGTTTGTTCTTACAAGTTATTGCTGGAAGAAGTCCTTCAACTAAACCAGTGCAGTGAAAATAACTAAGAGAGGTATCAAATTTTCAGATGTCTTCACAACTGCTTTAGTTTGTAGCATCTTTATAATTTTTATACGTTCATGTTTTTAAAGAGCTGCAACTTCAGATGACAGTATCTCTTTGGTGTTTTATTTTCATTTCCAGTTTTGAGATTTTTAAGAGGCTACTTTAGAGCTGTGAATTGCTTCACCGTCTTTTCACTCTCTCTTTTTAGTTCTTCAATGTGGGCATCCAGGCGCTCTAGGATATGATGAGACCTCAGTTCCTCTTCTTCCAAAAATCTTGTAGCTACTGAGCCAAGGGGAGATACAGGCAAAGGGCACTACAAGAGAACCACATACGGCCAAGTATAAGTAAGCAGAATATGTTTCTAAGACACACTATTCATGATCATTTCTAACTAGCAATATTAAAAAGTGAATTTTAAAACATAGTTTTCCCTCTAAAGAGTATTTCTTTGTCTTCATCCTAATGGCCAAAAAAAAGAAAAATCAAACCCAATGCATGGTAACCCATGTGTTACAATGTAGAGCTGAGCTCCATAGGGTTTTCTTAGTTGTAATATTTATAGAAGCAGAGTGCCAGACCTTTCTGCTATGGTGCTGCTGGTTGGGTTCAAACCACCAGTCTTTTGGTTAGCAGTCAAGCTCAAACTATTTGTACCACACAAGCCCCATCCTAATGACAACAGCAGTTAAAAAAAAAAAAAAAAAAAAAGCTAAGTTCTATAAAAATTAATACAAATCTCTCCTTTCCTTATACAAGTTATATGTAAAGTATTAGATAAATGTAAGATATTAGTTAATTGGTCTGAAGATATCTCAATTCACTCTGGTATATCCTTCTACAGCCTAGGATAAAGTTTAATTAATGTTTGTTATTTCAACCGCACTTTAAAAATCTGAATGTTACTTTCATTTTAAAGCACAGAATACCTACAGGCAATAGATTAGACACTAGTTAAAATCAGTAGTTTTTTCTCACAAAATTCCACAATTCCTTATCTGTAAGTTTGGGGCCAATTGTGTTTTAAATTTCAGACATACTGTGATTTTAGAAAGGTAATACAGGGCATACACCATCCATTACCCTACTAGAGTCTGACGTTGTTGTTGTTGTTGTGTGCCGAGGAGCTGGACCCAACTCATAGCGACCCCTCCTTGGGTTTCCGAGGCAGTATCACTATGGAAGTAGATTGCCCAACATTCCTTCCGAGGAGTGGCTGGTGGGTTTGAACCACCAGCCTTCTGGTTAGCAGTCAAGTGTCTTAGGCACTATGCTACCAGAGCTCCTAGAGAGAATATCCATGCGTTTTGTTTCAGAAATATCCATGTGTTTGATTATGGGATGCTACGTCAGACTCTGACGTAGCATCCCATAATCAAACACATGGATATTTCTGAAACAAAACACATGGATATTCACACTATGTGGGATAAATTCTATATACATCATCACATCAATTTAGTTCAGGTCAGTTCAGAAACCAAACCAAAAACCAAACCCACTGCCATCGAGTTGATTCTGACTCATAGAGACCCTACAGGACAGAGTAGAACTGCCCCATAAGGTTTCTAAGGCTGTAAATCTTCACAGAAGCAGACTGTCTCATCTTTCTCCAGCAGAGTGGAGAAAACAACAGAGCAGGTTCAAACAACTGAGCCCTTGGTTAGCAGCCCAATTCTTTAGCTATAGCACCATGAAAGCTCCTTTTTGGTACTGTTAGGTTTGACAGGAAGAAAGTTTCCTTTTCAGGATTTCACAATTACGGATAAAGACATGAAGCCTTGTGCATTCTTTATTTTGAAAATGAAAAGAACAAACTTCCATGGACTTACTGGCACACTAAAAAGGCAGTAATAGTGAACATTCCCAGGTATCAGGCCACACTGGTGATAGGAAACAAATGGCTCAAGCTTCAGTACAGAAGGCAGAAGACAGTGGGGTCTGCACAGCAATTGCAGGAATAAGGGGCCAGCACAGCGTCAAAAGACAGGCTCTGTGGTCAGCCCCCATCTTGCAGCACCAGAGTCATTTCTGGACACCCTGGATATACTTCCTTCCTCCACCTCTGTCCACCCCTTTTCCCTTCCTGCAGTGTCTTCTCTTCTTGCTCACAATTTATGCCTCAGGACTATCCTGGAATCTAGAGATATTCCTTGAACCAAACATTCCAGTACAAAATTGACCCTCTCTAAAAAAAAAAAAAAAAAAGGCAGGAAGGGAAATTCCAAATAGGGTTAAGGACAATTGAACATCTGTAATTGAAGTTTTATTTCAGAACTAGGATGTATTTTGGAAAGTAATCTTAGCTGAACGTATCTTCACAATGAAAACTAGACACAGAAATACATTAGAATGATAAAGTGTACTCAGAAAATCAGTAAGGAAATTGTAAAAAAAACAAAACTATTGTAAATAATCACCTTCCTCCCCCTCAAAAAAAAATAAAAATAAAAACTACTAAAATCAAACTAAATAAAATAATGAACTCAATAAACTAGTAAAATCAGAATGTTTCCATACCAAATATATAAACTCTTCTTGGTCATTCATACTCTCAGACACAGTATCAGAAAAATTGGCATCATTTGCATCCAAGACTGAAGGCAAAGAGTCAGTTTTACACAGAAAGTTAGAAGGCAAAGAGATGGTGGAGCTGCAAGAGCTGATGTGAGGACTCAGGGGGCTGAGGGTCCTGGACACAGGCTCTAAGCTATCCGATGCTTGTCCTCTCAGTGGAGACCAAAGGCCTGCTTTGTAGAGCTCAGTCTTTACTCCATCCCATCTGTGCTGGCCATGGGTTGGCCTGGATAGCAAATCAGAAAACAAACAAACAAAAACTGTTGCTCTTTTCCAACAGAAATGTGGTAGGAAGTTCATTTAAACTTACAGGCTAACTAGTGAGACTATAATTCACAAAATGAGCAGCCCACACAATCCAGGTGTTCTTTTACTCATTCAAGCCCCAAATATCCAATCCCACTACCAGCACCCTGCCCTACGGCACTTACACTATACATAGTGGCACACCAGCTGTCAGGGTAACAAGTACTTCCCCAAGTACTGGGATGGGGGAAGTACTATGTATGTGGTAGCACTTAAAAAGGGCGCCTAATCTCATCTAAGGGTGGTGATGAGGGCGTCAGTGAAGGCTTTTGGTAGGAAAACACGTAGGCCATACAGTAAGAGCTGAGCTGAAGCCACGGTATTTTTTCACGGAATGCTTATCTCTTATAGTAACAACCTATAATTAATTGAACAAAAATACAAAGGAAGCTTTTTATAAAAAGCCAAATTCCACTCCTCATGGGGCAACTGGGGTTGGGGAAGTGGGAAGCAGCATGAAAAGGTTTAAGCGAATGAACGTGTTTTTTGTACCTACATCCAGAGTGTATAAAATTAAAGCTTTATGAAAGTGCAGATTAATCCCACCCTGTTATTTAATCTAGTTTACTTATGCATACTGTACTTTAGAATGAAACATAAGGAGTCCTTTAATGAGGACTTTAATTTCTGTAAGTCAGAAATCACTGTCAAAGAAATGATAACTATATTACAAGACATATTTTAAATAAAGTTTTAAGAAATTTTACTTGAACTCTGTATTCTTGAACTCAGTAGTTCTGCCGTGTGTCACTTTAGAAATCCTGTCATTTTTGGGGGGGCACATCTGAGTGGAAACCTCTAGTTTAGATTTGGTATCCATCAACTCTTTCTGTAGTTGTTGATTTTCAGATACTAATTTATTTAATGCCTCAATATAATTCTCCTGAAGGTCTGCCAGAGAAATCTCTTTTGCCTAATAAAAAAGAACACTAGAGTCATTTAGTTTGCACAAGAATACTTGTTATCTGTGATAATGCTGGTTGACAATGCACCACTATTACTTTTTAGTTTTTAGTTGTACCTAGTTCATTTATGGTTTTACCTTGGAAAAAGTGAAGACTGTTTTTTGGTACTCTACAAACTAATAGACAAGTGACAGACAAAAGAAAAATGTTGTTTCTGAGAGTAAGCCAGAATGGTGAGTTAGAAGCACAATGGGCTTCCCTGATATACCAATGTCCAAGGAGCTAGAGGAAGGCTAGAACCAGGATGGAGGAAAGCTACAAGTGAGAATCAGTAACAGAAAAAGAAAGAAAACAGTAGGTATAGGCTCTTCTTCAAGGAGAAGACTCAACAGCCCAATATACTTGCAAGGAAAGAACCAAATCCAAAATCCCACTGCCACTGAGTCAATTATGACTCATAGCGACCCCCATTGGGTTTCCAAGGCTGTAAATCTTTACAAAAGTAGACTGCCTCATCCTCCTCTTGTGGAATGGTGGGTGGGTTTGAACCACCAGCCTTCTGGTTAGCAGCTAAATGTCTTAACCAGCTTGGCCACCAGAGTCCCTTAAGGAAAGAAGAGGTTCTGAAAAGGAATGTTGCCCAGCGGTGAAGACTTTCAAACCAACATTCTATGGTCTTAAATACTTTTACATAACTTTGACACCTATCCTGGTATATAAAATAAATTATGACATCATAAAGTAGCATTCAAGTATAAGGTGTGAATTACTACACTGATCTGCTCTTAGTTCTATGATCATAAATTTTACTGCTCATCCATCTAAATGTTTCCTGCTAATGCGGTATCTGAAAGAAAAATAAAGGTAGTCTGGACCATTTTTTACCTAATGACATTTTTTTTTTTTTTCAGTGTTTCCTCCCCTCCCCTCCCACCCTTGGTAACCAACAAAGAAAGTTTCCTTCCATACATAAACCTTTCCTTGACTTTTTACAATATGAACTTATACAGTATTTGTTCTTCTGTGATTGACTTATTTCACTCAGCATAATGTCCTCCAAATTCATCCATGTTATGCAGTGTTTTGCCTAATGATATTTTCATTAACATTCTGCAAAATTATGGTAATCTTCAGGTCAAATACGATATTCAGATTATTCTTTTCTGTAAAAAAAAAAACTCCAGAAGATAAACTGGTTGAGAATGGTTTGACAAACAGAATTTGCCTAAAAAAAATAGACTCGAAACATGTACCTGTTAACTACCTGTATACCAGTAGTGACAATAAGTTACAAAGTCTTTCAAAAATTGTCAATGCCAGATAAAAGCTCAAAAAAAAAACATTTGCAGGACATGTGAACTAAAGTGCCAACTATTGTCAGCTTTTTAACTGTGGTGAGTATTTATTTTATCAGCGCTATTGTTTTATTAAGATAATTAAACATGTATTAGAGAGGGACCGGGTCTCCAGGAGCAAGGTAAGCACGGGCGGGCTGGTGCTTACTCACTGACCTGCACTGAACATTTTCCCTTGTTACCCTCCCGAGAGGGACCGGGTCTCCGGTAGCAAGGTAAGCACGGGCGGGCTGGTGCTTACTCACTGATCTGCACTGAACACTTTCCCTTGCTACCCTCCAGAGAGGGACCGGGTCTCCGGGAGCAAGGTAAGCACGGGAGTAGCACAGAGTAGTAGGCCGGAAGAGCAGGAGAAAGGGGTGGAACCCAGGAAGCCAAAGAGAAGAGCGTTCAGCCA